GCTCAGCAGCCAGGAAAGCTGGGGGGCAGAAATTTTGGGTATATGTTCTTACCCCGTGTTCTTACCCGTGTGTCATCCTCCCGTTTCAAAATTTCCGCTCATACGCGCCTAAACCCCGGATCTCCGAAAAAAATATAAATATTTCTTTGGCGGTAAACGATTTTGCGAACCAGGCAGGGTACAAAGCTGAAACTTTGCAGAGATATTCTCTATGCATGTGTGAGCTAAAGATTTCAAATTCAGCTTCCATGCACGCTTGCGCAGCGCGTACGATCACATCAAAGTTTGCAACTTGGTACTGTGCTAACTCGAAAACTTGCTGGAAAACAGTAGCTGAAATTTTGTCAGCATGTTTATCGCTCATATGGAAAATCGTATACCTAAATTGAGTTCCGATTTGCACTTGCGCCATGACTTAGGGCAATTTAAAGACATATGTAATGAAGTGCTATTTCGCTTACTAGGTAAGGTGCAAGGCTGAAACTTGCTGAGATATTCGACTTTCAAGTGCGCTCTTAATTTTGCTTGAAAGTGAAATTCCCTGCAGGTGATTACGAGAAATATTCTACTAAAAAATCAGAGACGAGTGCTTTTTGCAGCGAACGACCGTCCTCATCCACATATGTGAATGAACATACAGCTCGTTTGAATACTTAGATTTTTTGACGAATGACTGCTCTAGCAACATTTCCAAGTTTTGGTGAGTTGAATTTTGCATTTTTTTAAAGCGAGCATTTACTGAAAAAACGACTTAGCTTCATGCAGAAAACTGGTAATTATATACCTGGAGGTCCATGCATTATATGCAACAATTTCATCCCAACCGACGCCCTTTCTCCTGCATGCCGAAAGCGGCCAGAGCGCGGCCACAAGTGTTAGGCTACAGCACAGGAATCATTCATGCTGTTAACAGATCTGCGAGTTTAGTGCAAAGACGCAAGATCGCACCGGCTAGCTTGGTGCGTTCCAGCCCGGGTTCTACTTTTTATGTGTTTTGGGCTGTGCAACAGCAGTACAAAATGCATATTGTCGCGGGGTTGTCTGTGTGTATTTCCGCAACAACTTGTCCGCAGTTTTCAACTCGGGAAACACAAAGGCTAGGATGCTGAAAATTTAGGGCAATGTTCTCCACCCATGCGTGTCCCTGCAAATTCAAATTCATCCACTCCGTATCGCGGACAAGTATGGCCCCATAAAAGTTTTAGCGGTAAAATTGTTATCACGGGAACCACGGAAGCTGGAAGGCTGAAATTTTGCGGGTATTTCCCTAGCCTGCGTGCGGCGCAGAAAATTTAAATTCAGCCTTCCCTTTTTCGCGGATAACACATACGGCTCCATAAAAGTTTTGGTGGCTAAAACTATTATCACGGGAACTACACAGTCTTGAAAACTGGAATTTTTGGACAGTAATCCCCTGCCCACGTACGACCTTGCAAATTCAAATTCAGCGTTTCTGCACGCTCGGATATCACCTTCGGCTCCGTGAAAATTTTGGCAGGTAAATTATTATCTTGGGAGCCACGGAGTCTAGGAACCCGAAATTGTAGCTTAGTGACTCCTTACCTACGTACGTCGTTGCAAATTCAGCGTTCTCGCGCTTTCGGGTGGCTAGCTGCGGCCCGTGGAAATTTTGGGAGAAAAATCATTATCTCGGTAGTCAGAAGAGTTAGGAGGCTGGAAATTTCTGGGGGATGTTTCCTACCTAAGCATGGGTTTCACGAACTCGAATTCCGTTCTTAATTATGCCGAGGTCTCACGTGCGAACACATGAAAGTTTTGTCTCAAAAATCATTCGAAAACCAGAAAATTAGGAGATAGAAATTTTGGAAGGATAATTCATCCTTCGAGGTTTCAAATCCTGTTTTCACGTACCGTTGCGCGAGATTTTTAGTGCGAAATTCCGCAACTTCTGGGCTATTTTCGCGCGGAAAAAGTGTAAGACAGTGAAAATCATTAGCACGCAATCGTTCGGTGGGCGTAATTGCACAAAACGCATGTTCGCACCGGCTGCCCTGTTGCGCGCCGCTATTTATTTGATGTCTTCTCTCGCGCCGGAAAGAGAAGGAGTTTGTCTGCACTTCGCACGTCACCAGTCAAGAACGATCTTATGAGTTTGTTTGAAATTAAAAGTCAGCAGCGAATTTTTGTAGTGTTTTATAACGAAGTAAATGCATTTGCAGTGAATCTTGTGCATAATGATTTTTAGAAGCTGCA